AAATAGCATTTATTAGCAATAGAGTAGTCTTTATTGTAATAATTTATACATGTAAAATATCTATAAAAGCACTACTTGCTGACTCTTCAAGAAAGTTAAATGTTTTCATACATTTCAATAGTGAATAAACTGAATGCAATATTTAATATCTTCATATACTATTTATTGTTGCCTCTGCCTTAAAATTCCAAATCACTCTGTATTTTGTTAAGTCTTGTGTAAACTTTTGGATAGAACCTGTTAAGTTATAGTCATCATACTATAGTTGAACAGCTTCTGATATCATTGTAGTTAAAGGAAAAACTACAGGTTAACAGTATCATGGATACTGAAATGATTATATGAATGCTGCTTTATTTGCTTATAGAACTGCCAAGCATAAAATAACCAAATATGACTCCTTTTACCTGATGTATAGAAGAGAGACTGTGCTATTTATAAAACTACTGCTAGAAACATGTTCTATAAATTTTATAGATAATGATTATTATATGTTAATGGTTTTGGCCTAAACATTAAAATTGGTGAACAAACTGTTTGAAGTATAATTAGAATATGTAAGAATATTTGCAATGCCTAATAAAAGCAAAAGTAGAGACATAATTGGCAGTACTCTTTGCAAAGTTTCAAAATAGTAGATAAAGTGTTAAGGTACTGGGCAAGGCTAAGAAAGCAATTGGGTAGTAAATTAGAGGAAAAATAGTTAGGACTGTACTGAGTGCATGATGTAATGAATAACAAAATGTATTAATTACATATGATGGGAAATAAAAAAAAGTAATAAAAAAAGCAATGCATAGTAGTTAATTAAAACACTATAATGTACAAAATAATAAAAAAATGAGGTAATGATAAAAATACAAAAAAAAAAATTTATATAAATACAAACAAAAAAAAAAATAAAAATAAAAAAAAAATAGAATGATGTTTTGAAACTTTAAGAAAAACAATCCAACAACTTATAGACCAAATAAAGTCCAACAAAGTAGAAGTTAAAAAAAAAGAGGTGATCTTTTGATACCAGGACCAAGAGATTCATGAAGGGTTTGGAAGGACAGAAAGGCTCAGCAAATCTATAACCATTTGGCTCTGTATTTTCAAGACTTGGATCACTTTATAGGGACTGAACTTGCAATGCCTATTGAGGCTGCTGAAAAAAAACCTAAAGTAATATGTATAGTAATATCAAAGACCTAAATCCAAGAACCCAATTAATAATCAAAATATTAAAAACCTATTACAAGATAGAAAGCTTGCTATTCAAAAAGAGTTGGAGTGACAAGATATGAAGAAAGTTGGCAAAGCAACTCTTGGCTTTCAAAGTGGGTCTAGTATAAAAAATTGCAAAGCAAATATATATGTTGTTTGCCATGCAGATAGGTAATATATGATCAAGTTTAACATATATCGATTTTGATGCTAAAATGAATGTTGGAGAAAGATTTTTCTGAAGCAATGTTGGCAGAGGCAGGGTGGTTAAGAAAGGAGAAAATTCAAAGAATGGTAATGAGTTTGCAGAAGCTCACTCTTTGAGCAAAGAAAAATGTTATAAAACCTCTTTATCTTTTCTAATTTTTTTTTGTTATCTGTTTATATATATTAGTTAGTATAACAGTAATAAGGTTTGAAACTTTATAAAAGATTTGCATATATAAGTTAGTATAGCATAGTATTAGGATTCAAAACCCCAATACAGAGTACAAAACCCTGTTAACTTGCATGCATTGCATAATTTGTAGTTGGCATAATGTAGTAATAGAATCCAAAACCTTAGTATTGAGTTTGAGAATTTAATCTAGAGTTTGTAAATCCAATTATAGATTTAAGATCCTAGCAAGAGATTTGAAACCCAACATTTAAAATTTGTATAAATAGGATGCATGCTTAATAAATAATGATTCATTCTGCAAAATCAATAAATATATACAATATAAACTAAAATTCTACTAGTATACTCAAAGTAATAAGCAATAGTCTTGTATAGTATAGTCTAGTATTTAATCTTTAATCTGCATGTTGTTACATATAGACCAACAATCTGTTAGTATTAGTCATATGATACATAATAATCTATAAGTAATCCTTCAACCAGAACCTCTCCAAACTAGTTTTGCCAATTAGTTAATAGCTAAGTTGAGGCCACATTTATGCTTGTAGTATTGTGCTAAAACTGGCAACATATAAGGAAAGCTCTTCCAAACTACAACAATAAGTTATATATTAGACAGTATTTTTTTTATAATAGTTTTTTTTTTTTAAAGTTATATCCTTGTACATTGTATGTTGACTTCTAAGTTAGAAAGAAAAATTAGTTGTAAGGTTTTTATATAATAATAGTAATAATGTTATTGAAACTTGTGTATGATGTATTGTTTTATAAGATAATAAGTCTGTTTTAGATTTGATATAAAACTGATAATCTAAGAGTGTTGATATAGAAAAAACTGATATTGGTATATTTGATTTTAGTTGGATATTTGAGTAGTGCCAAATGGCTTAAACTAATAAGATAAAATAATTAGGTAAGAATTTGGGTTTGAAAGAAAGATAAACATAAGCTTTGTTATGATAATTTTTAATAGAGATAGTTAATATGTAGCTGCATAAGTTATCAAGTGAGTAACCAAAGCTGTAAATATATTATAAAAAAGTAATAATAGTTTGAGAATAAGAAAACAATAGTATGTAGTTGTAAAATAGAAATTTGTTGTAGCAAGTATTAAATTAGATATTGTCATAGTATTGTTTAGCTATAGTAGTTTCATTATAGTCTTCTAAGATAGTTTCTACTAATTGAGAATAAGTGTTGTCTATTTATTATTCTTTATTATTAAATTAGTATTTAATGTATTATTGTTTATTAGAGAGAATTTAGAAGAGATGGGTATAGATGGATAATAAGTATAACTTGATAGTTGTAGAAAGAAGTATTTAGATAAAGGTTGAGATATATATAATAAGTATATATAGTATTTACTATAGTCAAGTTTGATTAATATTTTGAGTGCATAATTAAAATTATTATATTATATAAAATTATATTGATAAATGTATTTTAAAAAGAAGTTGAGTATTTGTAAATATGAAAGTAAGAGTAAATTCAAATATATTAGCTATTGGTTATAGCATGAGTCTAAATTGTATAATGTATTGCAAACTAGTTCTTGCAATGCTTTCTTAATGTTTGATATTAAAATAGGATTCAAGAAACTAAAAGATTCTTTTGTAGATTTGCTCACTATATTCTTAGTTCTCATAGCTGCAAAGAGTGCCATAGTCTGCTCTGTACATTGAGTCTGGCTATTATTAACTTAGTTTTCTGCATTTTGATAATATTTTTTAACTATGTATATATATTAAATAATTATATTTCTAACTAGTATTTTAAATATTAATTAGAATTTTTTATCTATAAAATTTAAAAATGTCAAAAAAAATTATTTTAACAACTAGATTCTGTTATTTTAATTTTATTTTCTATGAATGTCTTAATACATTTTATGATCATATTTCTAAAAGTTTTAATTCATCAAATTGTTCCTTTCAACTATTGCAATTTCAATTTGAAATTAATCATAATGCTTCAGAAACTAATAGACAATATACTCAAAGTTTTGTAAAAATAAAAAAAAATACACAAATGTATATTGGAACATATAATTCTAAAACAAAAAAAAGATCTGACTTAAAATTACTTTTTGAAGCAAATCTTCATTTTGTATATGCAAATAGTACAGATAAAGAATGCTTAGCATATATTTCAAAAGATTATAATAGATATAAACTATCTGAACATAATCCTAATTCAAAAAATAGAAAAAAATGTAAATATAACTTTAAAGATCTATCAAAATATTGTGAATACTGTAATAAAAATTGCAAAAGACTATTTTCAAAAATTAGTACAAAACAATCAATTGCTAAATTATTTTTATTTAAATCTGAATATGTTGATAAAAATAATAATAAATATTATATTAAAACATATAAAGATTTATAACAAGAAAAAGATGCTTACAAAACTCTTGAAAACATGCTTCAAAATATATTGAATGATTAAAATCTGCTTATATAATGATATTGATTAAAAAAGAATTAAAAAAACAAAAATTAATTCTTTAAAAGATCTTAATTACTATTAAAAGCTCTGTGTAAACTATATCTGAAAGGATTATACTACAGACAAATCTAAACTTTGTACTAATCTTTTTTTTAAAATATATGAAAAAGATAATATAAAGCAATAGTAGGAAAATAATAATAAAACTATTAATTATAATTGAAATATTGCAATTTTGATAAATAATTTGTTTTAAATATTTAAGCTAGACAAATTTATTAAAATTGACTAATCGAAAGCATTGTAGAGTAGATGTAAATTATAATAAAGCAAATATTGTTGCTATATATATTTGTTTAACTAAAAATAGTTCTATAGTAGCATTATATAAAAAATTATATATAAATAATAATTTGATAAAGATTAGTGCTTTTTAAAGAAAACTTCATTATATAATTAAATTTAATGATAAACCAATTTAAAATAGATCTGATAATGTAATAAGAATTTTTAAAAAAGGTAATAAAAAAGATTTTAATAACAGAATATTTAATATTAAATTTAATTAAAACACCTCTTTAGAACAAGTAAAAAAAGTTATATTAGATTTAGGATTTAAAAACCATTTATTTTTTTTTGTTATGCCAAAATAGAAACTTTATTAGGTAATAAAAGTAATTATATTAAAGATTTTTAAACTACATTTGTGCTACTTATTTAAGACACTCAATGTGACATTACACCTCTATTTCTATATAACACTATTATTAATTATTTCAAATTAATTTTAAGTATAGAAAGGTTGGAGGAAATCTAAGGTAATAGTCTTGGCATTTAGTAAATACAGTTAGTAAGTATATAGCTAGAATTAACCAGTTTTTAATAGATATAGTTAGATTTATACTATGTGTATTAGTAGTATTAGAATTAAATTGAGAAGGTAGAGTTAAAGAATATATTTTTGAATATTTAGATTTTTTAGTTATATTGCAAGCTTTTTTCTATTGTTGTTAAAGAATATTATATAATGGTTATATATGTTGGTGAAACCAATTTAGAGTAGCATTTGATAGGACTATAAAGAAGGATAATGTTGTTTTATAAAGTAATATTTTAACATTGTCATAATGAGATATAGAGAAAAGGCCTTCAATAAGATTAAGAAAGTGAAAATGTAATGGAGTGTTTGTTTGTTATAACAAGATAATATAAATTTTATCTGAAGTTCAAAAGAAATATTTAATTGTTGAGTAGTATTTAAAAATAAAGTTTGAAGAATTTTGTTGAAGATTATATTTTTGTTTAGGACATATAAAGAGATGTAATATATTTTTAAGAGTTTAACAATAGACAAAATTTGGAGTAGTATATAAAAGTAGATATTATAAATTAAGGTTTTGCATAGTAGGTAGATTGTTATTAATAATTTTAAAATGTAATATATAGAATTTTTGATCATTATTTAGAGAATTAATAATGTCAATGTTTGCTAACCATTTAATAGAGAATGGGTTTTGAAAGGATTTAAGTTGTGACCAAGAGAGAAGTGATTGTATAATAATTGTGTTTTGTAAGAATAGTTGGGTTTTAGTAGGTATTGTGTAGTTATATCATTTAAAATAATCAGGAAGTAATGTAATAAAGTTGGATTTAATTAAGTGTTTAGAGATACTTTGTTTAGCTAAGAGATTAGCTTAATTATAAAAAAATTATTAGAATAGAATTTAACTTAGTAAAAGGAGATTTGAGAGATTTTGTTTAAATAAAATAGTGGATAATAAATAAAATATTACAGTTTTTAATATGTAAGAATTTGTGTAAAGAAGAAAATAATTAAATATTTTTTAGAGCTAATAAATTATCAAGGTGTATATTGCTTTGTAAGTTTATTAGGAGAATGAAAAGAAGATAGACAATTGCTTCAAGTTCTTCTTAAGTAGAGTCAGAATATGAAGATATTGTACAGTTAAATTTGATTTGTGTATTATATTCAGAAATTCATCCAATACCAAATTTTAGATGTAGTGTTTGTGCATTAATAATTGAAGCATCTGTATAGAAATAAGTATTATTTGAAAGGTTTTTAGTTAATAGAAATAGATTAGTAAGTTGGTTTTGGTAATAAGAAAAAGATATATTTTTTTGGATTATTTAAATTTCTATGTTAGGAATGTAAATAGTTGGTAATTAAGATAATATCAGAGTTGAAATTACATGTTGTTGAATATTAATAAGTGCATGAATTTTATGATTATCAATATAGAGTAAATAGTTGTTATTCTTTTTTAATGATTTAATATGAAAAATATTAATAGAACTTTGAAATATTGGTGTAGATAAGTTAGTAGAAATTAGAGATATTAAATCAGAGGTGATGTTATGAAAGAAGAAAAAATTAAGTAAATTTTTTGTAAAAAGAATTTGTGAGTTATTAAAAACAATTGACCATTTATTTAATAATAATAAGTAATAA